GCTTTTGCCGCTCACTCTCTGGGGAATCTTTGGAATGGATGGGTTTCCACTGCATACTCTTCTTTTTCAAACAAAGTTTCAGGGAAATGATCCTTAGTCTAAAAATTGACTTTTATATTTTTGCTGATCCTCCAAATTTAATATTTATTACATAGGTGTCTTACATGTAACGAATAGTTTTCTAAGTGCTGAAATTCTTGAAATCATCCAAAAATCTTTTTCTCTTCAGATAATGCATGGGCAGACAAAGAAGTTAAAAGGAATGTGATCATTATTTGATAATACTTGGTGTGCTTAGTGGTAAATTACACTGAGAGAGGAAGTAGCAGGTGATAGGCCCAAAGGGAAGAAAAACCAAACTGCATCACCTAAAGTCAAGGTAACATCTTGAGTAGTTTTCCAGAACTATGGACACAGTCTCCTCCTTTGGTTGTTCCAGACATTTTCATTAGAAAGAAGATGCAACCATATAGCTCTAGCTCCTGCTGTATCAAATGGCACTGAACAGTAGTGTACCCTGCACAATTTGTTAAATCCCATTGTTAGTCCACAGAATCATGACTCTTAATTATCTGTATCCTTTTAAGAAATGGGATTAAAGTCAAGTTTCTTTGGATGTTTCTTACCTAGGATTTTTTTTTCCTGGTGACATACTGGTAGTTTCTAAAATATATTTTAATTTTAAAATCTCAAGGTCCTCTCACAAACATTTGGTGCATTTCTTTTTTTATCACAGATTCTCTGGGTTTATTGCTGGGTGTCTCTGAAAAAAACAATTAAAGATTGTGTTTCATAACACTTCTTCGAGAAAGCTCCTGCCCAGCGTCTATTGGCAAGAAGATTGATTTTCTTGCACTGCAGGGTGGGTTTGGGGTTTTTCCTTCAGAAGCATATGGGACTGTATTTTCAAGGAGTTAACAGTCCCCACAGGGGGCATTTTTTTCATAAGTATTGCGCATACAGAAACCCATTGATTTATATGGCCAGATTTAGTAAGTCTGGTCAATTTGTGCATTATGAACGTTCCTGCTAATTGGACCTGAAATGACTGAATTAAAGCATATGTCTAGACTGTAGGAAGAGTCTTTGTCCATTAATCACCAGAGGTGAGGACCAGATGGAGTGGTGTGGCTCTCTTTTGGCCCAGGTTTCCTTCCCATGGATTTGAAATATGCATCTGAATCCAAGAGCAAGGCAGTGCTGTTGGGTGTTACCATAGAGCAACAGCTCTCCTGAATTCATGGAATAGTCATGAACAGGATACAGACTTCTCATCTGTCTGATGGATGACATAACCACTTGAATACCCTTTCTGTTTGGTAGAAAGTGTTATTACTAACTAAATAACCCTGCTCCCCTCTGCTGGAATCTATCCTAGCGTTTTATGGCAAAGTGTTAGGAGGTTGATTTGTTGATTTTTCGTCTCTTTCTTGACAGCTCCTAGACTGTTTTGTCATCCCAGTGGTGATACTGCTCTCCTGGTTCTTCCTCCTGGTACGATACAAGGCAGTACATTTCATTGGGATTGTGGTCTGCATTCTGGGCATGGGATGCATGGCAGGAGCAGATGTCCTCGTTGGGAGACAGCAAGGAGCAGGTGAGTAAGGATGGATGACCTTGGTTGTATGACCAATTTCTGCTCAGAGAAGCTGTTGTCAGGTTGGGACAAAAAAAAAAGGGAAAATCATCAAGAAACCCTGTGCCTTCATGGGTTGAAAGCACTGCATGATTCAAAGTTGCTTCTTTGTTAGAAGGGACAGAGAACAAAGATGGCTCAACACTTAGAAGTCAACACTGCTACAAACAGACTTGGTGGGTCCTGTGTCTGCAACTCAGATCACCCTCTGTGCAGGCCAGGGGGACAAGCTAAATACAGTTTCCTTCTGTTTTGGTTTAGTTGTTTGGCTGCAAACCTCAGTTGCTTCCTTTCCAAACTGGCTACATCTTTGAATCATAAACACCTCTCACATCCACTATGTACTCTTACTTCTCCTCAACTTTGCTCTTTTTTTGTATGGAGGTGGGGTCACTGGGTAGATGCTAAAAGACACTGAAACCACATATTAACTGTACCAGTTGGGTTATGCGCACAGTCTTAGAGTAAAGGTTTGGGATTTGCCTGTATCATTGTTGAAAAGAACCTTCTTGTATGTAAAATGTTCTTTTTTATGTGCGGCATCATACGAATAATGTGTGCATAGCTATTAATGCAGACTAGACAGAGCTAGGTTTCATCGATCAGCTTCCTCTGTCACATTGATTTCTCTACTGCCAACCCAAATGATGTGGGAAGGCAGGAAATCCTTTTCAAAGATTGTCAATTAGGCACAGTTTTCATTCTTAATTAAAAGCACTGAATTGTGAGCTAAGCATAATACTCTGGGATTTAAAATTCTTGACTCAGCTTTGTGAATACAAATGCAAGTGCTGTAAGAACTGCATTTGCCAGGATGCTACTAAATAAAACAAGGGAGTTTGTGACAGTACTCACCATATCTCCCTGCCCCCTTTTAGTCCTTTAGCCTAAAAGAAGATTTTTAGTTCATTGGTCTCCTCCAGAAATAGCCCTGCCCCATCTAAAAAGGAAAGAAAATACTCTGCACTATGAAATCAGCCAGCCAAAGCTGCATGAGGAACAACTGATTTCAGAGGGATTAGGATTTCAGCCCTGGGTTCCAGAGGAAACATCCTGTGTCCCAGTAGTCTAGAGAGTAACATGCTAGGGCAGGTGAGTTGTGGATCAGCAATGCAGCAATGGACCTCAGTGGACAAGGAACAGGTTGAAGAACACTGACACTTTGCCATCCAACTGCAATAATTAGATATTATTTGCCATATTTATTACTAAAACACAGGTATATCTGTTAGGTAAATTTGTTAACATGTATTATTGCCTTTTAATTTGAACCTACACATGAAAAACTGCATCCATGCTTATTGCTACGCAGAGAGACTGCAGCTTTTTTTTTTAAGTGGCAAAATGATGTTATTAATGATGTTGTCTTTAACAGAGTAAAATAGATCAGCTAGTTTAATTTATCTGAAACGGTAAGACTATACATTAAAAATCTACAAATAAAAAGAAGTATTGGCAGCAAAAGAAAAAAAATTCTTGAAACTCTTCATTAAGGGGTTCCACACCATTTATAGGATATTTCCTAGGACTGAGCAAACAAAAGAAAGGAATACACCAAAAGCAGTGATGCTGTATTAGTCCTCAGTAAACTCCTCTGTTTATCCTATATTTTAGGGGACGAGATCTGTTGACACCTGTGTGCCCCTGTTGACCGTACTATTTACTGTATTAGAAGTGCCATAAGGCTCTGGTAGGCACCTACTGCATACAGCAATCTAGCCTGCCAACTCTTACAGTAGGTGAAAATGAATTTAAAATGCATCACTAAGAGATTAACAGGTATTTTCCAAACTGTCTGCAGGAATTAGTTATAATGTGCAGGCATGCTCTCAACTTTCAATAAATATACGGTAGTTTACCTTTTCTCCCTGTATCCTGACTGATGTTTTGCACATTTCTCAATGGGAAAAGCAATTACTCCTAAGTACTTTGTGCTCTATCACCTTACATATCAAGTGTACCTTAAAATAACATTTTTCTGAATTAATACCCCTGAGGTACCTTGGTACTTGTGCTCCTGTAATACACAGAGGTCTAAGACACAGAGGTCTAAGTGATTCACCCAGATTTTTCACAGCACTTCACAGCTTTAGCTTACCACAGTCTCTGAAAACCAGTCACTTCAGTCCTGTTAATAAGTATATAACAGTATGTTTAGTCTAAGATGGGACACATTGAGAATGATTTGTAGATATTATGATCATCAGTAATTAAAACCCAAAGCAAAGAGAAACACCACTTAATGCTGGGGGGGTTGAGGTAAAAATGTGACAAAGTGGCCTAGTGAGAGTGTGAAAAGCAATCACGTCAGACCATAATTCATATTTAAATGATTTATGTTACGCTATAGTGCTATAACTAGTCCCCAAAACATTAACTTCTCTCTGGACTGTATGAATTCTGCTTCCAGAGAATATAAAATATGCTAACAATGATTAATGCAAAGTGTGTTTTGCCAAGCTATGCCTTGTGTTTCTTCAGAAGAATGACCTACACCATTAAATTGGTCAAGTACAACTGTATTAACCTAAAAGTCTTTAGAATACCTCTGCTCGGTTGATACATATTTCCTTAGCAATAAACCAGTAGATGCACATGGATTTTACATCCATGAAAATATGTCTATTAGGATACGTCAGTCTTGGGGGTAAGTTCCAAAGTCAGCCTCTTGAGGAAGCAAAGAAAAGGCATTTGACAACCAGGATGCTAGAAATTATTAGGAAAGAAACCAAAAATATAGTATAAAACATTTTTATGCCAGTATGTAAAGTTTTGATGCACTGGCCTCTTGAGTACCATGTATTACTCAGGTCACTGCATCTCAAAAAGAAATGACCAGAAAATAAGCTTGTAGAAGCAATGGAGAAAGGTGAGAAAGCTGTTCAAGGGCATAAAATGACTTCAGGATGAAGAGATTGTAGGCAGACTGGGACTTTTCATCTCCCAGAAAAGGCAGGAAAGAGACAGAATATGGTAAAGGTACATGAAGTCTTCAGTGGTATGGACAGGGACAATACAGAGTGATTCTTAAGTATTTCTCACAATCAGAAAATTATAGGATGCCCAATATAATTTTGAGGTATCAGCCTTAAAAGATAAAAACACAAAGCACTTTTTAACAGTGTATGCTTAAACTGGATAAGTTATTGCCACAGGGTGTTGTAGAGGCCAAAACTATATGGACTTTACACAAATTGATGAAGAATCCCTCAGGATTTATTATGTTTGATGGTCTAATGTAACTTCCATCTCAGAAAATCCTTAATCTGCTGAGAACTGGCTAGTAAAAATCCCCCTGTGCTTCCCTATTTCTTCATGCTTTCCTCAGCCACCCTGTGCTGCCCAGGGCCAGAGGAGGGTCCTGGGCTAGGCAGACCCATGCTCTGACCAGATCTTGGCTTCCTCTTTGGGGAGAGCCCTGAAGGTTGAGGCTCACACACTCCAAGCATGAGCGTGCTTTGGGGAGAGTCATCGCGGTGTGGTGCTTGGGGCTGTCCCATCTCTATGAAAGTGCTCAGCCTCTGAGCCATCTTCGTTTCGCAGATGCAAAAGGATGATATTTTTGTCTCAGCAGTTCAGCTCTAAGGTCAAAAGCTTTTTCAACAGTACTTCCCCAAAGTGTCAGTGAGTAGCTGTAATAAACACCAAATGAGCAAGCTCAGTGAGGAATGATTGGAGCCACTGTGGAACATCAAATGCATCAGGGGTATGAAGAGGTTTTGTAAAGTGCTGATGTTTGTTTTAAATTAAGGGCATCTTCCGTGGCTGATTGCAAAAGAAGGCTGAAAGGAAAATAAGTACCAAATCTTAAAAAGATAAATGGTCAAATATAAACATGCTGTCAGTCAAAGTAAATGCAAAACAGAAAGTCAGTGAGACACTGGATGAGCACATGAAAGAGAAATCTAGTAATGTTTGCTAAATACACAGAAGCCACGTCTCCTCTGAGCTGAAAAATGTTGGAGACTAAGAGAGTACTACTGGGAGTATTTTAAACATTTGCCCAGTTCCTATTCATCCGTAAACAACTTACACTTTTCTGGTGCTTATAGCCAGCGTTGGAGACAGGATATTGGATAAATGAACCCTTGGTCGGTCCTCTTATGACCGTTCTTATTTTCATAAATTTCTTCTCAGTAGAAATTTCAGAACTGCAGCTGGAATGCAAACTGAAGGCTTAAAAGAACTCCATAAAGAAAAATGTTGAAAAGATCATTTTGAACCAATCAGAATGTTTGGCTTCCATTTTTATTTACTGCAGCATGTATTTTACAAATCAATAATAATGAAACTTAAAAGGCAGGATCTCAAAAAATAAATCAACAGGTATTTTAAAAGAAAACAAGGTTTCTTTCAAAAAAATTACATTCTAGTACTTCAGTGTTTCTACTGAACCTTTTCAAAGGCAATTCCATTATGTCCAGCCTTTCAGCATATGGTTCTGCAGCAATGCCTGATAGCTTTGTGAAGCTGTAGCTCTTGTAGGAATCATTTAACAAGCCATATGTGCAGAGGGAATCATGTGCATCAGTTTGCAAAGCCCAGGCCTCAGTTTTCAAGCTGGAACTTGATCTTCATCAAATGTCCCTGCAGCCCTCCCCACCTCCCAATAGTAAAAGCCTCCAAGACTTAAAAACATTTCAAACAGTCTTTGCTAATACAATGTTTTAGTAATTATATATACCTGGAGGTACTGAAAATACATTTTTGTGTTCATTGCATGCATTAGGTACTGCTATGTTAATTGAACCTCTTTTAAAAATCTGTCATTATCATCACCCTGTCTACACCCCATCCTTCCTCCTCTCTTTCTTGTCAAACAGCTGTATGTGAGAATGAGGTCAATATTGGGGTTGTAATGATTTCTTCACTCATTTCACAGGTACACAGAATTTTTCAGCTGGTTTCACATCTAAATACTGGACATGCTTTAGACTGGTTAGATTTCAAGATGAGATGCAAACTGCTCTATATAGCTGAGTCACATTCTGTCTGCAAAAAAAATAATAATAATAAAATAAAAAGGATTAGTCACTGAAGAGTGCCGTTTGGTTTCTGTATTTTTTTACAGATTTTTCAGATTCTTTCAGATTCTTTTATCCGCAGCAAGGATAATGCTCTCCCTTCACCTCTGCTACATTTTGCTGGGGTATTGAACGAAAACTGTTAAAATGACAGAACATTTGCGTTCAGCTTATTAACCCAGATATGGGCTACTTAGTGACTGAGGATTGAAATCTATAGGGAAGAACTTGCAACGGTTCTAGAGAAAAGATGGTTGTTTTGAGACATTCTGATTTTTACCCTGTTTATTCCTAGGTGAAAATAAACTGATAGGGGATCTCTTAGTACTGGGTGGAGCAACGCTATACGGCATCTCAAACGTTTGTGAGGAGTATATCGTCCGAAATCTGAGTCGAGTGGAATTCCTGGGCATGATCGGACTCTTTGGCTCCTTCTTCAGTGGAATTCAGCTGTAAGTGAGCAGGTTTGAGCTGCATGGTCATTCAAATAAGTGCAGTTGTGGCCTCCGTTGAGGTAGCCTATCTTCAAAGGTAGACATTTCCTGTGGAGGGTAGGTGTCCTCTAATTCTGGAATTTGCATTGGTTTTCATATTTCAGATTGGTGGACTTGAGTCATAACACAAATTTATACCTAAGTATTCTAATTCAAGGGGCCTACAGGAAAGATGGGGAGGGACTCTTCATCAGGGTGTGTAGTGATAGGATGAGGGGTAATGGTTTTAAACTGAAAGAGGGTAGATTTAGATTAGATGTTAAGAAGAAATTCTTTACTTTGTGGGTGGTGAGACACTGGAACAAGTTGCTCAGAGAAGTTGTGGATGCCTCCGCCCTGGAAGTCTTCGAGGCCAGGTTGGATGGGGCTTTGAGAAGTGATCTAGTGGAATGTATCTCTGCCCATGGCAGAGGGATGGAACTAGTGATCTTTAAGGTCCCTTCCAACCCAAACCATTCTATGATTCTATGACTGGTGTCCTTGAATAGTCACATGGGGAGGGAGGAGTAGAAGACACATTTTACCACATTGTTGCTTGAAGACAAGTGGGTACTTCATATGTTGATCTGATCCATGAATAACAAAACCTACAACTCTCTCTGGTTCTGTTTCATACTTTTATAAAGTCGCTTAGATTTCTAAACAGGTAGAAAACATGTGCAGTCAGAAGGTATTTTACTGATTGGCTTTTTCTGTGTAACTGCATTATGATAAATAATTAAAAAAACTTTAAGAAACTGGAATTTTCACTCCAAAAATATTTAGTACTCAGGAGATTGTCACATGGATTTCAGGAACTACTGAGTCCTGTCCATACCCATGTGTACCTATTGAGCACCTCACCTGCAAGCCTAAGAGTTGGAAGGTAGCTTCCAGTGTTATAATACTGTGATGAAAGTGTAGCAAAAGTCACCATGGAAGATTGCCACATTTTATGCAGATCTGTGACTGGTGTTTGTCACACAGAAAAATTTTTGATTATTAGTCAAAACCAGGTTGCTTCCCTGCACATCTGAGCTACTTAGCTTCTAAGAACAGAGACTGATCAAAACAATGACCCATCAATTCCCACTAAGTTCTATTTCTTTAGCCAAAAAGCTTATTATGTTTATGTGGGATCTGAACACGACTTAAAATTATTTATATTAAGTGGCTGCTACACAAGCAGTTCCTTTTTTAAAAATACAGAATTCAAGAGCATGTAAATGGTCCTAGTATCATTGGCTAAAGCATTTTTGTTACCTACAGCGTTCGTGGTAGGTAGGTACTAACTGACTCTGAGGGCATCAAAGCAGTGCCCTTGTCTTGCTCTGGGTGCATAAACTGTCATGTACATGTCTTGCATTCCTGAATTTAATTATAGTGCCATTATCCACTCTTGACCCAAGCAGTTAGTCACAATTCAGGGTCTGTGAGTTATTTTGCTGGGGAGAAGAAGCTGGTGCTGGAACAAGGCATCTTTGTATACAGAGAACATGGTTGGAAGGAAGCAATAAGAAATAATTTATTTGCTGAAAGCCCTAAGGATTTTCTAGTCAACCTTTGGCCCAAAAGTTCTCACCAGCAGGTTTTTCTCCACTGGCCTCCGCAGATTTTTGCTGCTAGTGCTTTTGTGGCACTTTGTGGAGCCTCAACCACACTTAGCTCATATATGTACTTTTTTAACAAGGTGGCAAAAGCTTGCATATCGGGAGAGGCCAATAATGTTTCTGCTACTTGGTTCCATTAAGCCATTCAGCATTTTCTTATGTTTACCTGTAATGAAGAGCCGATATCACATAGTTATGAGTTCACAGGGGTTTAATCTAACTAAATATACCAATTGTTTCAAAGAGGAGCCAGCTCCCTGTGTTACAATTGCAGACTCTTTGAAACACTACCGTCCATTTTGGTGCAATATAGGACCTTTAGGTCCTATAAACTGAAGTAATCTGGGGAAGGAATGTCTCAAAAATAGGGCCATTTCCCAGCATGCTAGACATAGTGCTGGTCAAGCTTTGTTTGGCATCCACAAAGTGACTGAGGATGGGGAACAGTGCTAATACCACTGGAGGTTTAAGTCTCATGTTCCTAAGATTTACAGGGACTAGTACAATTTTGAAGAAGAAAAAAATATCAAAAAAGTGTGTAGGACTATGCTGAATGTAGGAAAGACAAAACAGTACCCAGAAGTGAATGTCCCCTTTATTGACATGCACTGATCTCAAAATAATATAGTAGCAAAAAGCTGTGCTATTTGCCTTTTATTGCATGTGTAAGTGCAAATATCTACATAAGTGTGGGTGACTCATGTTCATTCATGCTTCAGCTCTAGTATAGGGCTGTGTCTCCAAGAGGACTTTCAAGAAGTCGGCTGTTGTTTTCTAGAACAGTTTAGCAAGAGTGCTTAATGTTAGACTGTAATGTAAAATAAACCCAGAATAATGCCTATTGGAAAGCAAGCGAAGGGCTAAGGTTTCAGGGCAAACAATGAAGTAAAGGAAAGAGTTGGCTAACTGCCTGGGCATGGTGGAAAAAGAAGTTTAGTGGGTTGAATGTGATTAAAGCAGGGAGGAACTGTATATCAAAACAAGAGAAGACATTAGTTTACAAGAGTTGTGGATATAGCAACTATCCAGCAAATGGAGATAATGCTGTCTGATGGAATCACATAATCATAGAATAACCTACTTTGTAATGGACCCCAAAGGCCATCTGGTTCAAGCCCTTACTCAAAGCTAACTTTAAAGTTATGTCAGGTTGCTCAGGAACTTGTACAGTTAACTTCTTAGTACCTCCAAGAATTGAAATGCCAGTTTTGCTGGGCAACCTGTTGAAGTGCTTGACCAATATTTTTTTCCTCATATCTAATCAGAGTTTCCCACGTTACAACTTGTGTCCGTTGTCATTCATCCCTTTGTTGTGCACCTCCAAGAAAAGTCTGACTGTTTTTTCTGCAACTTACCCATTAGGTAGTTAAGACATCAAATCTATTGTCCCATCCTCCTTGACCCCAGCTTAGCCTTCTCTTCTTCGCACTGAACAAACCCTACTGCTTCAGCATCTCCTCTTACATCATGTGCTCCAGTCGCCTGACCATTGTGACAGAGCTCCACTATACTCCCTCCAGTTTGTCGATGTCTGTCTTATTCTGGGCAGCCAAAAATTGGATACAGTACTCCAGCTGCTGACTCACAAATCATGTCCTTCAACTTGCTGGCTAGGCTCTTACTAACACAGCCCAGGATGCTGTTGGCCTTCTCTGCTCCAAAGACACATTGCTGACTCATATTCAGGTTGATGTCCACTAGGACTCCAAGGTTTATTTCCAAAAAGCAGCTCTCAATTCAGTCAGTTCCCAGCCTGTACTATTGCATAGAGTTATTCCACCCCAGGTGCAGGAGTTCATATTTACTTTTCTTGAACTTCACAAGGTTTCTCTTGGCCCTTTTCTTCAGACTACATTGTGGGTAGTTCACCCATCCAGTCTATACCTCTTCAATCTCTAAAGATCTTTCAAGAAATCACGTCGGAAGCTTTGCTAAAGTCAAGGTAGGTTACACCTAATCCTCTCATCCATGCCCTCTTCTTCATTTACTGAGCTAGTCATCTCATCATGGAAGGCAGTCAGTTTGGTCAGGTATGGTTTGCTCTTGATAAGTCTGTGCTGGCTGTTTCCAGTCATCCCTTCTTCATTTCCTGCAAATGTCTTCTGGGAAGATTTGCTCCATAATCTTCCCAAAGGTTAGCATAAGGCTGGCCAAGCTGTAGTGTTTTCTCTTTTTGAAACTGGATATTGCATTTGTCTCTTTTCAGTCATCAGGGACCTCCTTCAGTCACCACAACCTTTCAAAGATTGTTGTGGTTCAGTTCTTCAGTGAATCTGACATCACTAAATGGCAACTTCTGGCAAAGTTGCTCTTACCCCTCTTTGTTTCACAGATCATAATGAATCACGGACCATGCATATCGTTTTATACTTCTTTTGTATCAGGCAATAGTATGAAAGCAATGTTTCTACATTTAAGTTATATCAAAATTTGTCAGAACAAGAGACGTTGCAGTTTGTTTTCATGGTATTCTTCAGGAATTGCTGATAAAAGAAACATATGCCTTATGCATGCAAAGACACTTATAATTTAGTTATTTTGCAGACAAAATGATTTTATTATTCTGTACACAGTATTAGATTTTCCACACATCAGCAGCAAGCATATTAAAATTTCCAGGACGCAACTCCCTAGAACAGATTAATCAACCTGGACAAGCTAGAGAGGTGGGCCTGTGTGAACCTCAT